GCCCCGCTGGCGGCCGCCGCATCCTCGCTCGAAAAATATGAAGACGACCCGCGCGTGCACGCGCCCGGCCATATTATCGCTGAGAAGACCACCGAGTCCACGGTAATGGCGCGGTGGTAGTCGTTTTATTGCGCGTTGCGTTTACGGGTCTTGCTTTAAGCGGACTTCGTCGTCCCCGAAGAGCGTAATAACATCGTGGAAACCGCGACGAAAAATATTTTCCGAGAGCTATGGAACGGGGGAGACGAGTTTCCCCCCCTCCCTCCCTGCAGGATTCTCTCTGCTCCTAATCGTCGTTCCTCGGATCGTATCCGAATCGACTGCTCGAAGCCGAGGCAGCCGACTAAACCTGTACACCGACCGCGCGGAGATTGAATTATTTTTCTCTTGGCATAATTTCGCCGTAAAATAAGGGAGGACGCCGGCTCGACTCGTTTCGCCGCGCCACGGTGTAGGCGCGCCCAGACCTCCGCTTCCGAATCCGAACCCGAATCCGGGGGAAACGAAACGATCCGACCCACCCCCCTCTCCCTCGCGCCGCGCGGCGTCGTTTTCGCCGGTCCCTGCCCGTTTTCCGGGTCCCTCCGGATCCTCTTTTCTCCCTGCTCCGTTCCTCCCCGTGCCTCTCCACTCGCCGACTCTCTGCTCGGTCGTCGGTTGTTCGCAGGAGCACTCGTTCCCAACGCTAGGCGACGCCGGCTGAGCCGAGGCGAGGCGAGGAGGCACACCGGCTTCCTCCGCGTTTCCTTATATTACATTCCAGATCCACGGGCCGCGAGCTGAAAATGCCTTCCCTCTCCTGTTTCTGTCAGTGAATATCTTATCATAATAGCGCGACGACGGCGCTGTTTTCCCAAGGTGCGGGACCACCGGGCTCTCGTCCGCGTCCACGTTTCCCATAACCTCCGCCCTCTCAACCCTTCCTCTGCTCGAATAACAAATCCCTTCGCCAACTGTTCGCACTCTTTCCCGAGCGCTTCCGCCGTGCTCTTTCGCGCTTCCTCGAGACACCGGGAAACGGTAACCCCGGGGACAGCGTCAGGGGGCTAGTACGCTTACGGTGTATACGGCGTATAGGGTTTCGCCACTCGCCGACAGCTGGAAGCTCGGTTTTTTTTTCCGTTCGGTGCACAGGACCGATCGGATGCAACGTTTTCCGGTCGCGTCCCGATGTGTCCACGGATCCCCGCGCCGTTTCCACGCTCCGTTTCGAAACTTTCACTGGGCCAGGCAGCCCCCGATATCGCCGCGCCATGTGGCCGATACCGTCGCGACTTCATTTTCACCAACCCCTCTCTGCTAAACCGGGCTCCGATCGCTTCTATCGCGAAGTTCCGCGAAAAATTAATCGACGATCGAAATGCTATTGTTCGTCGTTGAGTAACGATTACGTTCGTTTCGATCGCCGATCGCTATTATCATTGTTAACGCGATCGTATTTCCAGCCAATGGCGCACTATTCGAAACAAGTTTGCGTGAACTGTTTACCCGGAACTGCTGATTCGACGATTCTCTGCCAGTCGTAATATGATATGTTTTTGTTTCGTTTTGCAAAAATAGGTGTTTACGCGCAAAAATGAAATAAAATGAAATGAAATGAAATAAAATAAAATTAAATGAAATTAAATGAAATAAAATGAAATTAAATGAAATTAAATGAAATTAAATGAAATTAAATAAAATGAAATTGAATTGAAGTAACGATTGAAACGTTACTGTTAATCGTTAATCGCAATTAACCCCTTGCCGTACCATTTTTTTCCCAGTTACGATGGCTAGATTTTTCATTGCAATAATTTCTTAGAAGAAGAAAATTTGTATTTATCGTCTACCTATATTTCCTTGAACATTTAAATATTTTTGGACCAAAGAACAGAATTTTATTCGAACTCTTGAAACAACAGAATAACATTCATACTAAACTGATTATTAATAGAAATCGTAATTACGAATTAGACTCGTTAAAGTACGGCAAGGGGTTAACCGTTGAAATATTTCTGTTAATCGTTAATCGCTGTTGAACCAAAGGCAAACATGAAGATAAATACAATATTAAGATAATAATAGATAAAAATATGTACAAATAGCGAATTTAATTAAACAGTAAACAGTTTCCATAGAAATTCATTTCCATTTCCTTTCGAACAATAAAAAGATATATATTAACTAACGAACACGATAAAGATCATTTTTGACGGAATCGCATGAAAATATCCACCCGATTCCATTCGAAAAATCCTCGATTGTCTCTTTCAAACGACGATCGACGATTAATCTCATGAATCGATTTTTTAATCCGAGCGCCGACTTTTCAGCTATTAATGCCTCCAATTGGTTTCATCAGTCATTCAACCGAATTAAAAATTTCAATCGATTGATCCCCGACGCTGTACCATCGCTCCCATCGCTTCCACTCCTGCCCCGTTACGATATCGAAGATCATCCATTTTTCCCGCTTCTATCACCCCCGCCGCCGCTACCATCCCTCCCCCCTACCCCTGAGCCACGGAATATTCGAACTTTTGTCGTACGTTTCGTGGAAAAAGTTCGCCCCCGGGGGAAGTTGCGCGCCGAACTCCCGGCTAAAGGGAACACTTTGGAATTTGCGCGATCGCCTTGACCAAGTTCCCTTATTTTTTCGAGAGTTAACTGCGCCCTGCCACGCCACCGATGCGCGCCCCGCCACCCTATCCGAGCGCGCGAAGTATCGCCGGTGGAGCGCGTACCGCGGCCAACACTCCGTAAAAACTTTCTCGATCTGCTCGCAACTTTGTCATGCCGCGGAAGCACGGGCGCCCGTGTTGAACACGAGCTAATCGCACGGCTACGGCGCCGACCGAAAATGGCCGCGCGGAATTATGCAAACGGCACAGAGCCGAGTAGCCGAAGGACTAAAGGACCCTTACCCGGGGACTAAAGAGCGAGCAACGGTGTGCTCCGCGATCGTCGGGCCAACCGAGACCCGGATTTATTACCGGCGTCTTCTTCGCCAGCGTCGGCCTGCGGGATCGGGGCCATGGCTCACCGTCGCTCGTTCGATATTATATACGAAGGCCAACAAGCTGTTAATCGGTGTCATTGCACCGTCACGTACGCTTTAACGAGGGCAACGAATCACGCGTATCGAATCCGCGCCCGTTGTAGGCGATGTGAAATATTTTCCGCGCGCCCTGAAAAATATAGGGGCGGCGGCGCGCTCCCATATTTCGTTCATAAATCTGCGGTGCGCGCGGTGGATGCGTTCGATTTAAATTCTCGAAAGAAAGAGCTCCCGGTAATCGGCTTCGCCCCGCGGAAACAATGGGGGAAGGCGATCGACGAGCACCCGCCGGGCTTCGGAACCGAACTAGGAACGTTTCCGTGATCTTTCATTCGCGCGAACCGTGCTCTAAAGTAGAGAATTCGTTGGCCCATTAACCCTGTCGCGTTCCTCGCGAGAATTTTTAAGGCCGTGAAATTGAAACGCTCGCGAAAGTGGGAACAGTGCGGGGTGTCGCGATCGGATTGAAAAGGGAAATCGAATATTATGGAAAATATTATCACTTTTTATTCGTATTAGTAAAGTGTTATGTAGAAGATTAGGATTGTTTGGATGCTATATTCCAGCGAATATAGTCAGCTATATCCACCGAGTAGATGTTAGCAAAGTTAGGCTGCGATCGATTATTTTGTGATTACTTTTGTAATTAAGTACGAAATGTTATCATATTGCGATCATTGATCAATTAATTGTTACTAGAATAACTTAGTAATTGTGATTACATTTAGTAATCTGTGATCATTGATCATTAATCTAAGTAATTCGCGGGCGAATGTTTGAAAATTAACCCTTTGCACTCGAGTGGTGACTCTGAGGCACCGCTAAAATTGTTATTTTTAATAGGTAATTTTACCAAAGAATTTTTACAATTTTTACAAGGTAATTTCTCTATTATCAAAGTTTCAGTTTAAAAAATTGTTAAAAGTGTAACTGTTGTATGAATCGCGAGGATCAATTTTATATGCATAAAATGCACTTTGTCATATAAAATGGAAATACTATAAGTCAGAAAAATTATTATAGATTGACAGTTAAAGTGGTTACCAGTTCAAAGGGTTAATTTACTTTTCTTCATTACCTGCTACAGAATCCAAACGAAGTGAACAAATAAACAAAGCCTACTATTGCGTCATGATGTACATGCAGATTTTCTAAAAGCTATACAGAATTATTATTAACCCTTAGCGGAACACAAGTACTTCATATTTTTCATTTTTCATTGATATATATATTTTCATCAAAATTATCGCGTCAATTCTTCCAAAGTTTCCAGTAAGATTTTATGGTCTTATTGATTTTTGCCGCGTATATAGCAACACTGGACCGTCAAGGGTTAACTACCATCATATTTACCTGATTAGTGATTACTGCATTGATCATGGCCAACAATTACATTTGCCTCGATTACTTTGCTATTATTATTAATCATTAATCACGGTTACTGGATCACTGAGAAATCGTAATCATTAATCATGAACATGATTCCATGTCAGTCACGATCGTAAATCATTAATCAGATTACATTTGTCCAATTCTGGATGAAAGCACATATTATGCGTGTGGAGGGAAGAATTCATGAAAGCAGAAAAGTGGTAGCGTCGAGGGAAGTGTGCGAGAATGAAATGGAGAAAAATGGAGAAAAATGGATAGACGAGCAACAATTATAGTAAATGTTCCCCAAATGTCCCTCAGCTTCGAAACAAAAATATGCAACTAGGGAAGAGGGGATACGATTATTCGAGCCTTACGGCTCATTTCTATAGTTAACCGATTAGGTATCAACAACTATAAAAACGCGCCGCGAGACTCGAAAAATCGTCCATTTTCATCCCCAAACAGAACGACGATTGGGGAGAATTTATTGCGCGTACGACTGAAAGCCTGTTCCAAGCCGTGCGGGGCAACAATTACGTGGGAGCGGATCATAATAGTAAATAATAAATCGAAAATTTGATTGCAGATTTGCCGAGCTTCGTGAAGCCGATCGGTAATGTGACCGCGGCCATCGGCAAGGAAGCCATTCTACCGTGCACGATCCGGAATCCCGGGACCTACAAGGTAAGGGATTTAAATTAAATGTTGGCGCAGGAGAAACGGTGTGCCATCAATTACGCGACGCGACGCCGAGCCGCACCGAGCCGCGCCGCGCCGGTGAAACGTTAATTATGCGATGGTCGCCGCGTACAAACGGGTGTCACGGATTCGTGGAGGGGTGGGTGGGCGCGGGACTCGCCAGGACTCGCCAGGGCTCGCTGATAAGGGGGCTCGAGATCTCGCGAATCGGTAATCTCGCGGGAACAAATGGGTCGCGCGGTTGCTCGAGGCAGACGTCGCGCCCGGTGTCTTGCGTCTTTTTGCAAGCGCTTCTTCCGCTTCTGTTTCCATTTCTAGCATTTCTCCCCCTCCCCCCTCCCAGCGTCAACACCGACACCGACGGCAACACCGACGGCGACGGCGACGCCGACACCGTCGACGGGGGCTAACTTTCCAACAGTTTTCCACGACCCGAAAGGCCATCGTATTCATTCACCGGGTGGAAATAAACCGAAACTTTGTCCGTCTACGGGGGACTCCGTCGGACACGAGAAAGCTTCTCGGAAGTTCGCGACGGAAACACAATTCATTAAGCTCGGTGCCGGGTAACGAGACGAAATTAAATGCCATTCTGCCGCGAGTGATTAACTCGTTGCGTGGCGAACAAACGTCGCGCGTGTATTTGTTTAGCGGACTGGTTTTCCCCTCTGCGACGACGAGGAAACTTTCGATTCCGGGTCGAATTAAGTCCGTCGCGAGTCGCGAATCGCGGTGTCGCGTCGCGTCGCGTCGCGTCGCGCCGCGTCGGCCCTTCGCCGCAACGAGATCAGAAGGGACGAGACGGCGATATTTAGTCTTCGCCGAGTTTCAACCCCGGAGGCATTCCCGCGGAAACTACTTTGATCGTTTCGGTATATTTATCGCGTCGAACGGAAAGTTCGCCGCGTTTTGGTCCGCTCGATGACGAAGGTCGACCTTTTTGCCCAAGAGAGGTCGCGAACTTCTCGGCGCGGGAGAAATGTCGTGCTTAAGAGACACGTCTCGCGCGGATTCGTATCGAATCGGTTTTTACCGATTATATTAACCCTTTCTTCACGCGGTGGCAAGAATATTTTCAGGGTCGAACCAAATATATATCGAGAGATGCAAATTGTAGCGGCCAGTCGGCGCGCATAAGAGAAGATTTATTTCTCGCGCAAACGACTAACATATTTATGACTCTCCTTCGAAAAGGCTATCTTTGAGTAAACTGTTTTCCGTGCGGATGGCAATAAGCCAGTAGAGTTTCTTTTTTACCTGATTCTCGATAGTCTACGAGACCGTCATAAATAACGGGAAATTCCGAAGGGCACGCAAAACGGACCCGAACGCCGGACGTCCGAGCGCAACGGCCCTGAGGAAAACCCAGGCCGTTACATCATAAAAAACGCACCCACTCCGATCACCACGCGGTCCCAAAACGTGACGCGCTCAGGGCGTAAGGGACAACGCGGTGAGAAGGAGATGGACAACGCTGATTGGGAAAACCCATTCGCGGGTCAACCAATCAGGGGGTGTCCAGAGCCCTTGCCGGGGGCAAACAGGAAAATATAAAAAGAGCAGCAGTGAGACGCTCGCTCTCATACCTTCGATACTCCTCATACCTCTGATACCTATCTTACCTGTCTTACTTCTCGTACATCTCTTGCTACGACGTCACGTTACCTGGAAGTGTTTCTACGCAACTTAATAAATAAAGTTTAATAGTTACACCGCACGCACCAGTTATTTACCAGAACACTCCATAGCTAAAAAATGATGCAAAATATGAACAATATACAGTCCGGAGACATTCTGGGCTGTTCGTGCGAAAACTGTGACGTGTGGCCGGTATATTTTAAGAATGTTGCATCGCTTCACAAAAATGGATATAACTCATAAAATATCAGAGTTAAATCAAATTATAAGATATGTTGCTGCATTGAAGACATAAGACACGTGCCTCTGTGAATGGGTACATTACAATGTTCGCAGATGTATCTAAGTACAGCAATGTCTCCCTTATTGACGCTTAGATTGCGCACAAAAGTGGACAATTTGGGAAGAGGAGATACGATTAATTTGAGTCTTGCGCCTCGTTTTATAGTTACGAATTATCAACAACTATAAAAACGAGTTGCAAGGATCGAATGATCGTATCTCCTCTTCCCAAATTGTCCAATTTCGTGCACAATCTGAGCGTCAGTTGGGGAGACATTACTGTTATCCTGATTCTTTGTTATGTACATAGTCAAATTATTGGGTTGTTGCAAAAGAAATTACAATTTTCTGAATACATAGATAGTTTGCAAGAAAATCGAAATTACTTTTGCAACAACCCAATATATGTTTGTAAATTCTAGAATGAGATATACAATCCTAATATCGTCACTGTGTCAATATTCGACCTCGAAAGGTTAACACATTGCCTTGCGAAGACATAAGCATATGTTTTTCCCCTTGACTGCTCGTGAAATGCCGGAGACATATAACTATAAGGAAAAACGCCGCAAGTCTCAATTTCAAAAAACTGCAGTTAACGCATGAACTCTTTGGCATACCATTTTTTTCGCGGTTGCTGCGATTAGAAATTTTTCCATTGCATTAATCTCTTGAAAGGGAAAGGAAATTGATGCTTATTGTGTGACTAAGTTTACTTAAATGCTTAAATATTGATGACAAGGGATTAGAATTTTATTCCAATTTTCACGGATAGAATAACATCTATACTCAATAAGTTATTATTAGAAATTTTCATGACGAGTCGGACTCGTCAAAGTATGGCAAGGGGTTAATTGCATTTACGTATTTATCAGAAGAAACATCGTGGGAATAAATTGTGTAGACTGAAAAACATTATAGAATTCGAAACGCTACAAATGCGAAACGTTAGTGACCAGAACTTTAAGCGACAATATCACAAATAAATAGAGCTTTACAGACTGCATCAAATGTTGGCGATCTATACATATGTGTTATAATACAGACGTTGCACTGTAATAGTTACATCGAAAATGCTTAGTGAATAAAACATAATAAAATAATAAAATAGCAACTTAATTTAATTGTAAAATAATAAGTATAAAAGATACCCTAAAATGTGCCGGCTACAAGCAAAAACCTTTGCACAAACAGTCCGGACCGTATTATGATAATTAACCTCGCAGTTCCGGCGATCGGGCGTTCACGCGAAGCCCCATGACTCGGTCCTTATGTTTATAAACATTTTAAACTAAAATATTGCTGTTATTATAATCATTATATTATTATTAACATTAATATTATTATTATCTTACCGTAACTTTTTTTCATACAATCGGCAGAGACATCAAATGTCTTCAGGTCTCGAGCTTTGGGTCCGAAAGGACCCGGATATGGTACGACGAGGGTTAATAGACATTGTGAAACGAATATCGATATAATCACTATCAATGAAACAAGCGTATTATAATTATTAGTATTATATTAATAATTATAGTATATATATATATATATTATAATTATTAGTAATAATATTATATTAATAAATATCGTCGATAATTTCACCATGTTGATTAAGCCTCAGAGAACGAATGGTTTTCGATGGTCACGGGAGACGAACGCAGGGTCACTTTGACTCATAATAAAGTTTCTCTCGCAAAACTGCAGTCACGTCGCCTTCGAACGATGTCCTCGCCCAGGAAGCAACCCCATAGCAAACAATCCTATCGCTGTCAAGTCAGAACTACCCTAACTTCGACAAACAAGGGTTAATTAAATATCGTCGACGGAATCGACGTCGGTCAAACAGCGTCGACCGAAACGAGACATCGCCGGTGAAATAATCGACGGTGATTCGATACAGCGCCCATTCTAACGCCGTACGTCGTCACGTTCTTCCGGGGTCGCGAGCGCGATCGGCTCGCTTGCGCCGTGGCATCGGCGAGGTTTCGTCGGTGATTAACAGGGCATAGGGTCTTGGCGTCATCGTCGACGTCGACGTCTACTTTGGCAACTCGGTGGCTCCCTGGCTCGTCCCGCTCGTTCTCACCCTCGCCCCCCCCCCCACCCCCCATCGAGCATCGATGAACCGGAGTATTTTCGGGTACGGAGTCGCTGCCAGGCGGGCCGGGGGTGCGGGGATCAGAATAGAGAAGTACACTACCGGCCGGGGGTGTACTGGAGGCTGATGTTGAGAAAAGGGAGAGCGCCCGTGGGGCGGCCGAATCGGCGAGCGGCTACGGGCAGATCGGAGACGAAGCAGAGGGGGCGGAGGCGAGCGGAGAAAAGCGAGCGGAGAGGATCAGAGAGAGAGAGAGAGAGAGAGAGAGAGAGAGAGACAGAGAGAGAGAGAGGAGGACAGAGAGGAGGACAGAGAGGACGCGACGCGACGCGACGGGGCAGCGGGTGTGAGTTGGCCGGAGTGGTGTTTCCCCGGGGTAAGCACGAGCATATACTTGCCCGGGGCTTATTCAGACAAATCGGTGATTGCTGCGGAGGCGAGCGAAAGGGTAGCTCGCCACACCACCGTCGCTACCACCACCGACGTCGACGCCGACGCCGATGCCGACTCCGACGCCGAAGCCGGCAGAGGAGGAGGAGAGGGCCGCGCGCGGCCGCCGCAGCCTTACTGGAGCAACGAAGACAGGGCTTTTAGCCCCGAAATCCGTGATGGAGATGGAGGCGAAAAGAGGACGAGAAAGATGGACGGATATAGATAGCATGGTAGCGGAGACGGGACGAGAATGCGGGGGTGCAAGTTTTCGGGGAGAGAGAGAAAGAGATAGAGTGAGAGAGAGAGAGAGAGAGGTAGAGAGAGAGAGAGAGAGAGAGAGAGAGAGTCAGAGAGAGCAGGAGGGAGGGAGGGAAGAAGACAGAAGGGGGATGGGAACGGACCGGGATCGTCGAGGTTAGAGCGAAGAAGCGCCGGCAGGGGGAAGGAGAGCGAAGAATGATTGTTTCCATGATTACAATGGAACGGAAGAGGAAGAGGGATGGAGGCTGGCCCAGGAAAAGGGTATGGGGAG